CCCGCCATGTCCTCTCCCGGGTGGCAAAGGCGCCGGCAGCCACGGAGGACCATGGAGGAGGACAGGGGGTTGGGGACCATGGAGGAGGACAGGGGGTTGGGGACCACGGCAAACACCAGGGACTCTCGCCAGCCACCCAGCGAGACGCGGACAGAGGCACCATCCCACCGGTGGCTGGGGCTCATGCAAACTGCTTATTATAAACCTACTGCCCAGCCTGTCTGTCTGTCTGTCTGCCTTTCCAACTATCTGTCTCGCTCGCTAATCAAAAGAGGTTGTTCCAAGAAAGCTGGAAGAGGAGAAGGAATGTCTCACTCGGTCGTGGCTTCCTTTGGAAAGTCTGGAAAAACTGTGGCATCTCGACGTGCGTGAAGGTCCGCCTAGCAAGAAGCACATTTTCCTTCCAAAGCTGCTGTAAAGATGTGAATCATGAGCCGGTAACGCTCCTGGCAGAAGGAAAACCGATTCCACTGAGATGTGGTGCTGGCAGCGGCTCTGCCGTATCTCTTGGACGGAAAAGACAAACATTTATCTTAGAGACATCGCTGGGGAAGAGCCGCCAGCGCCGCCGAGAGCCCTGTGGCGGCCAGATCCTGCCTGCGCTGGGGGCGCTCCCGCCAAGGGGAACCTCGAGCAGGTTTCCCAAAGGTCTCCCAAAGCCCGGCGGTGGCATTGCCAATATTCAAACGCAAGCCAAGGGGTTTAAGGACCCTGCTGTTTTGGTTGCCCTCCACAACCTCAACCCCTCAGCGGCATCTCTGCGTTTCAGAGATGAAAATATCCCATATCCCAGTGGCTCATTTCCAATGACGTCGATTTGATTTCTGGTTGTTTATAGGCATCACATTGGACGTTGCAGGGAGAGAGGAGGAGGGGATGCCTGAGCAGATCGATTTTTCTTGCTGTGAGCTCGAGGCCAGAGCTTCTTGCGGTAATGAGCCAAACTCTGCACCTCTCCAGCCATAACCACCCCATGGCAGGGCACCTGCCTTTGACCACACACGAGGAACGTGGGGATTCGTTGCCCCTTTCATCGGAAAAGAACCTAAAACCTTTGGAAAGGTCTGCCAGGAACCGCGGGGAAGCCCAGGTGCTCCACCTGCAGCATGGTGGAGCTCTCCCTGTGCCACCGTTCCCGTCCAGCCTGTCCCCACGCACCCGATGGGTGGGGGGGACCACACCCAGCACCCGCTGGGGCCAAAACCCCACCAAACCTTGCCCTTGAAATGCCCCGTGCTGCAATCACAAGGTCCCTGTGGACATGGCGTGTTTACCAAGCCTCTTGCTCCCTTCCCGGGCAGCCCCCAAAATCTGCCAGCCCGGTGGTCCATGGAGCTGGGGCTGCTGCCCTCCCCGCTGCACCCAACCCGCTGGCAGCAGCTTGCCCGATCGGCTCAAGCGGCTGCTTACGAACCCCAGAGCAAACAAAACA